CAAAAGGTGCAAATAATTTCCTGTTACCAACAATAGAGATCTGGCTTCCCAGGAAAGAGGCTGTTGAGCCTAGGCAACTTTTTCTGGGATTTGAGAGAAGTCTGCAGCCTCCCTCAGGATGCTGAAGCATGTGGCTTCAGGAATGAACCTCACCCCTCTGCGATGTGTGGACCAGATGATAGAGACATTCCTTCATATCGTAACCCCTGTGGCTCAGAGGCAGACTCTCTCTGCTTCCTTCATGGCGAGAATGGAAACCTTTTCTGTCTTTTCCTTCCGCGTTTAACTTAGCAGAAAGTTATTTCCTCGGTACAAACATTTTTAACATAATCTAAAATGTCCTGAAATTGTATAATTCAATCTCATATTTGAGTTCTTACCATGAAATTCCATCACTTTTCCAGACTGCTCTTAGTCCTGTTAAATTACAAAATGCCTTTGATATAGGAGTTACAGAATAGAGTAGGGATCTTTTCCCCCTTCAGTTGCCAATTTATTTCTTCAGTAGATTTTCAAACTGTGATGAATCTACAGTGGGGAACTTCTACAAGGAGGCAGGCTAAGATTTGTCTTTGGGCGGCTAATATAGTTAGACATTTTTTGAGAAAAAAGAATGAGAAGTGGTCATTATCCATTATCTGCATTAAATATCTCAGAGAAGGAAACAGCTTTTGCCAAACACAAAAAGATGTTTGAGTTGAAGCCAGACAATAAGGAAACAAGATCACCTTATAGTACTGTGAGATTGTTCTACTAATGATGTTATTTCATGTGAAACTAGAATATACATGAAGAAGTGCAGATGGTGAATGGGTTTTACATGGATTAGTGGTGTTCTGGAAGATGATGCGCTGTCCCTTCTCTTGGCCGAAAATATATTTTCCAGTCTTGGAAAGAAACACACATATATATATACACATATGTATGTGTTTCTTTATGTGGAAAAAGAGCAAATTTGAGTTAAAGTAATATCCACTGGTGGAAAAGTTACCAGCAAAATCAGACAGTTTTTTAAAAAAGTATGCAATCATACTCTGCAGTTCAAATTCAGAAGAGCTGTACGATGTGGTGCACATTGCATTGCAGGCCATTGCAGCGCCTGGCAGCTGGGGTTGGGCTCAGCGTCGCTGGGCGCTCGGCTCACTGCTGTCTGATGGACAAAGTTTCAAGGTAAATGTGATGGAGTTTTGCATCCTGAATATCAAAATAGAAATTTTGCATGTCGATTAACTATTCTTTTCTTTTGGACACTGCAGAAATGTGCTAGAAATATGTAGGAAAATGGTATCTCTTGAAGAAGAAAGCATCAGCTGTTTACTGCACTGCTTGTCCCAGAGAAGCAGATTGCTTCAGTTACTGAGAATCCAATCACAGAGATATGGTGGGAAGTAATAAGAAATAAGTTGAAACATTTTAGAATTTTATTATCCATGTGATAATATTATCCTTTCTTATGTCATGTTTTTGACTTTGCTATCTTGGGATCAATCGGCACTAAAACCAAATTCTGTGTCTCCATTCAGGAAGCCAGAAAGTGCTTCCATTAAATGCTCTGAAGCTCCTGGTCTTAGAGATGCTGAAGTTTCAGTCCCTTGTGTCCTTGGTACTTCTCGTTGCCCATCTCCCATCTCAGCCTGGGCCTGTTTAATTTCAGTGGGAAAATTTCTCAGCTGGGAAAAGGAGGAAACATTCATCTGGTAACTGAGTTTGGATTTCTTTTTTTCTTTTTTCTCTTTTTTCCATAAGACAGCTATATATGAGCAGCTCAGAGGTTTGGAATGTCAGAATCAGCCTGGGGGAGAACTGGTGGGAAAAGAACAGGTCACTCAACAATTTATTATATGGACATCAGTACAATGCCAAAATGTATGCTACACATTACAGACACTGCATTTAAAGCGTATGAGTGTACAGGCTCAAGACACCCTTTATATGTAGCATATGCAAGAAATAATGCAAACTTAAATGAGTGTAATTTCTGTTAAACAGCTGCATCAGTTGACACTGAGCACACACACACTGCTGGGTGTGCACAGCAGCTCTGGTACCACAGCCTGCCTGCTCAGAAGAGACTCTGCTGATCTGAAAATGCTCACAGTGACTTGAGTGGTTTAAATAAATGGAAATTATTTTAGAAGTGGGATACCAAAATGTGTTTTCAAAGCTGCTCAGAACTCTTACCTGTTATTAAGATGGAACTGACCACTGATTTTGTGAAATTTTGATGGTACTTTCTAAGAAGTTGTTTCAAGGCTTTTTTTGCTAAGATTGCATCTGAGCGTTATGCAGCCTATAGAAGAGGATTTCTCAGCACGAGTTACTCTTCTGTAAAGGTTATAGTAAACATGTCAATGCCTAATTAAGCAGAAAAATTTATCTGTACTGTGGGGGATATGCAGCTGCCTGGTTCTTCTGTTTCTCCCAGTCAGCCCTTCAGAAGGACAAAGGAGACAGCAAAGAGAAAACTGCCGTATGTATCACCCAAAGGAAAATATTACCTTCTGGTGAAAGATGGGTTAACAGCATTCTGAGAGTTGGTGCTGAATTCGAGAACCAAATCCGCACCGACTGAAAAGCGTGCGGATGCTATTTGTTGTCTGTTTGGTCTGGTTCCTCCCTTGCATTCCCTCCTTAATTTTGTTGCACTGAGTGTGAGGTGCAACGCGTCCTGGTGTGGGGCCAGAGCTGCTGCCACGCGGGGTCTGCAGCGCGGTGAGCAACACGGCAGCCCTGCTCAGCACTGCGTGCTGCTGCGCAACGCGGTCAGCGCTCTGCATGCATGGGGGGTTCTGCCAGGTCCCTCCATTCTCTGCATCCTCTGAGCTCTGAATGGGGTACAGGGTGAGCATCATCTGGCCATCAGGGGGGATATTTAAGGATGCAAAATAATCATTTTATTCTTACTCTTGTGTTTAGTGCCTGCCTCCATCTGATCAACAGTAAATGGGGCCGCGAATGTTTGCAGTACCCCAACACACTACTGAAAGACTTGTTGGTTTAATATTTAACACAGCACTTCATGTTTAGCTTCTTTGCTAGTGTTTCTGTCACTGTATGATTATTACTTAATCATGTGAAAATGGTGTCCAGGTCCTTTGCTCTGAGCCGTTATCTGTACCTCTGGTTGTGAAGCTGCCTGGTGTTGCCCAAGAGTAAGTCAAGCTCACATCTATGGAGGGCCTAAAGCCACGGGAATGGTGCAGGGAAGTTGGCTTGCGTGCATTTCTAGTGCATCAGGACAGAGAACCATCACTTCCTTCTTCTTTTACTGCAGGTTTATCCACTAAGCGGTTCCTCTGCTTGTGCTTCAGCTCAAGGCTTGGCAGTGAGCATCCATTGGGAGGGGTCACATATGCTCCCAATTCTTAAATGCAACTAGACTGAAAAATTGAAACACATCTGAAAAAAATCGTGGAAGGCCTTGTCTGTATGTTAGTCAGAACAGTTCCAGCTTTTCTGCCCATCCCTCTTGATTTGTGAGAAGGATATCATTTGCACAGGAGAACTGAGTTCAGGATGGCAAAATAAGACAGGTCCTCAAACAGGCATTAGTTGGTCATTCTCAGAAGCAGGGAAGGAATTTTAAACAAGTAACACTTTCAGGCTCATCTGCATCCTTCTTTCTGAGCTTTTAGGGATAGGTTTTAAGTCTTATTCTGCAGTTACAAGTAGTAGAGTATTATTTTATTGTATTTTATTTTATTTTTGTTTTATTTTGATTATTTCTAATGGCAGCTCGGACTGTGGGTTTCTTCTTCACCTAATTCCCAGACACACAAAGCTAGGGCTGCAGTCCTCAACGCACTGCAGTGCAGTCACACGAGTGAGCAGATGAGTGTGCTCCCAAATGAACGAGCGCACCAACGTATCTCCTGCGAAGACTTCTGAAACCAGTGCTTTTGAAGAGTGGCTGGCTGTAGCACTGGATTGCATGCATTGTTTTGCAACATCTGGTAAAAAAACATTCACTTTTTTCTTTTGTAAAAACACGTCTGAGCCACCTGCTCTCTCCATCACTTCTGGAAGTCAATCATTGATTGTGAGGAGTTGACGGGAGTTTATCCACTGACTGCCATGGAAATGGTTCATGCTTAAGACTCTCCTTTTCTCTGCTGTTCAGACTATTTTTGCCCATGTTATCTCCCATAACTTCAGTAGAAGCACTGCTGTTATAAGGGAGGAAAAATAAAAGAAAAAAAAAAAAATCAGATTTCCTTAATTAATTTTAAAATTTACATCTTATCCAGTATCAAGTTCTTCTTATTAATTAATTAACCCCTTTTTTAAATAAGATCATTCAGGTCTTGTCCTGCTTCTTCAGTGCTATACTTTGGTCTACCTCTGTCACATCCTGTTCTGCAATTTCAGGGTTCTTGCCCTGAAATGTATGTATTTGTTTTTATTGAAGTGCAATTTGCTTTTATGGTACGCAGTACATTACTTTTACAAACAAAAGAGTTCCACTTAAGCCTATCAGTGCTTTCAAATGTTGTATTTTGACATATAAATTATTTGTGTATATTCTAAAGTGCTTTTTCAGGTGATCAAATGGTAAAAGATTACTGTACCTAGATGATTCTATGAACCAGGCAGATTATGGCAGTTATTTGTCTTCTGTTCTTTGCCAATTCTACCCTTCCTTTCACTGAGGCTAAAAACAATTTGGTAGAATTGAAGCTTTTAATATAAACTTTAAATTCTTACATACGAATTTTCCAACTGTCCTATTACAGGACAGTTAGAATTACAGTCCCGTGACAGGAAAATTATTAACTCAGAATCTCTGGCAGTTATAAAGAATTATGATCATCTGCCAATAACATGCAGCAACCTTCACAAAAAGAGACATCACTTGGCTTTTTTCACTTCCAGAACTAACAGGCATTAAAGTTGTAGATTAAAATGAAGTCTGGTAAAGAAAACACATAGTGAAACTAGAAACCTTGAACTGCAGTGTTCTCCGTTAACAAATTATTTCATATATTGACGTTACATTTCAGGTTACGTCCAAGAGGAAGATTTAAAGGAAGAGGAAGATATAAAGGAGGAGGAAGAAGATGATGATGACAATTCAACTGCTCAGCTCCAGGGCAGCAATGACACCGGAACGGATGAGGAACATGATGTGGGTCCTGAGCAGAAAGGGAACTTCAGCTACCAGAATTCCCCTGTCAGTCATATATCTACCCAAGATGCAGAAAATGAATCACTGCTGAGTGATGGTAGTGACCATGTGACAGATGTTAAAAGCATTTGCTCTAGAGAGCCGCAGGATCCAAAAACCAGCACCCATCCCAAAGCCCAGAATGAAGCACACAACTGCATGGATAAAATGACAGCAGTCTATGCCAACATACTGTCAGACTCTTACTGGACAGGCTTGGGGCTGGGTTTCAAGTTGTCCAACTCTGAAAAGAGGAGTTGCGACAACAGAAATGGAGGGAACAAAGCTGATTTTGATTGGCATCAAGACGCACTGTCAAAAAGCTTACAACAGAATTTACCTTCCAGACCTGTCTCGAAACCCAACCTGTTCAGCTCCGTCCAGCTCTACCGGCAGAGCAGCAAAATGTGTGGGACGGTGTTCACTGGTGCCAGCAGGTTTCGGTGCCGGCAGTGCAGCGCAGCCTACGACACGCTGGTCGAACTAACAGTTCATATGAATGAAACAGGTCACTACCAAGATGACAACCACAAAAAGGACAAGCACAGACCTACCAGCTACTCTAAGCCTCGAAAAAGGGCTTTCCAGGACATGGATAAGGAAGATGCACAAAAAGTTCTGAAGTGCATGTTCTGCGGTGATTCCTTTGATTCCCTTCAAGATTTGAGCGTTCACATGATAAAAACGAAACATTACCAAAAAGTGCCTTTGAAGGAGCCGGTACCAACCATTTCTTCAAAAATGGTCACTCCAGCAAAGAAACGTGTGTTTGACGTTAACAGGCCTTGTTCCCCCGATTCCACAACGGGGTCTTTCTCAGACACTTTTTCCCCACAGAAGAACGGGAACCTGCAGCTATCCTCCAACAACCGCTATGGCTACCAGAATGGTGCCAGCTATACGTGGCAGTTTGAGGCCTGCAAATCCCAGATTTTGAAGTGTATGGAGTGTGGAAGTTCCCATGACACCTTGCAGCAGCTCACGACCCACATGATGGTTACCGGCCACTTCTTGAAAGTCACAAGTTCAGCTTCGAAGAAAGGAAAGCAACTTGTTCTAGATCCTTTAGCTGTGGAAAAAATGCAGTCGCTCTCTGAAGCACCAGCCAACGACAGCCCGGTGTCGAAGTCAATCAGTAAATCATCATCTGCAGAATGCATAGCTCCTGCATCTGAAATTAAAAAAGAAAGTAAAAAAGATAAAGCTGATGATGCAAACAAAGATGAGAAAGCAGTAAAAACTGAAGAGTATGAGGACGCTCTTCAGAAACCACTGGATCCCACAATGAAATACCAGTACCTCAGAGAAGAAGATTTAGAAGATGGTTCAAAAGGTGGTGGGGATATTTTAAAGTCTTTGGAGAACACTGTCACGACAGCCATCAATAAAGCTCAAAATGGAGCACCTAGCTGGAGCGCATATCCCAGCATCCACGCAGCTTATCAGCTCTCAGAAGGAGCTAAGCCATCTTTGCCTGTGGGTTCCCAAGTACTGCAAATCAGGCCAACAATGGCCAACAAGTTGAGGCCCATAGCTCCAAAGTGGAAAGTCATGCCTCTCGTCCCTATCTCAGCAAACGTGGCTCAGTGCACTCAAGTGAAGAAGGAAACTGATGACAGGGAGGAGGTACAAAAGGACTATGCTAAAGAGAGCATTCAAGCTGAGCATGTTTCACTCAGCCAGAGTGAGAGGGGACCTATCCTCAAATCTGAAGCCTCTGGGGAGCCAAAAAAGACAGAACCATGTCCCTTGAAAGAGGAAGACAAAATTAAAGAGGACAGTGGAAAAGAAAAATCAGCCCTCAAGGAACCAACAACAGCTTCTCTTAGTAATGGTTGTGCTGCTGCCAACCATTCATCAGAGCTGCCTTGTGTCAACCCTCTCAGTGCCCTGCAGTCGGTACTGAATAATCACTTGGGCAAAGCCACTGAGCCTCTACGGCCCCAGTCCAACTCCAGCCCCAGCTCTAGCACGATTTCTATGTTCCACAAATCTAATTTAAATATGATGGAGAAGCCAGTTTTATCTCCTACTCCAACCCCACCAAAGCCTGCAAGCGTAACCAGGCACTATTTGTTTGAAAATAATGATCAGCCTATTGACTTGACCAAATCTAAAGGCAAGAAAGCTGAGTCAGCTCAAGCACAATCCTGTACTTCTCCACCTCAAAAACATGCTCTGTCTGACATTGCTGATATGGTCAAAGTTCTTCCCAAAGCTACTACACCAAAACCTGCTGCATCTTCAAGGATCCCATCTATGAAGTTGGAAATAGATGTCCGACGCTTTGAAGATGTCTCAACAGAAGTCTCCACTCTGCATAAAAGGAAGGGCAGGCAGTCGAACTGGAACCCTCAGCATCTTCTCATTTTGCAAGCTCAGTTTGCTTCCAGCCTCTTCCAGACATCCGAAGGTAAATATTTATTATCAGATCTAGGCCCACAGGAGCGTATGCAGATCTCAAAATTTACCGGACTGTCAATGACCACCATCAGCCACTGGTTGGCAAATGTCAAGTACCAACTTAGGAAAACTGGAGGAACAAAGTTTTTGAAAAACATGGACAAAGGGCATCCAGTCTTTTATTGCAGCGACTGTGCATCTCAGTTTCGAACCCCATCTACTTACATTAGCCACTTAGAATCCCATCTAGGTTTCCAAATGAAAGACATGAACAGGCTGGCTGTGGAGCAGCAAACCAAGGTAGAGCAAGAAATCTCCAGAGTTTCAGTTCAAAGGTCTCCTGAAACAATAGCTGGAGAAGAGGACACAGACTCTAAGTTCAAATGTAAGTTGTGCTGTCGGACATTTGCGAGCAAACATGCTGTAAAACTTCATCTAAGCAAAACACACAGCAAGTCACCAGAACACCATTCACAATTTGTAGCAGAAGTGGATGAAGAATAACTCTTAAGGTATGCATGCTCTATAGTGAGTTTTTATTTCATCCTTTTAAGGAGGCCTCTTTAAATATTCATACTTTATTCAATTTCAGTAGGAAAACACTATAAAATGCATAATGTACTGTTGCTTCATTAAACTAATTGCATGTACCTATTCATTTTATAATGTTTTCAGGAAGAGCGCTTGACAATTGCAGAACAACTATATAAAAAAAGTTGCTTCTTGTTAATATTTTCTCAGTACTCACTTCCCTTTTTGTTTCTAAGAATTGCTTCACATCCTATGCACTTCAATGTGGAATGCAAGAAATGAATGCTACTCTTTGCAGTGAGAATGGAAAAAGCAGGAAAAAAAAAAGGCACTGAACACCAAAAGATCGTTACCTCCCTCGGTGCTAATGCATCTGTAAATCTGATTCTGATGGGGGAAAAGAAGGCAATTCAAATGTCAAATTAATAAATAATAAATAGCCCGCGTTCCTGATACACTCAAACCTAGTCTCAAGAATCTACTGATGACTGAGAAGTTTATGTCTACAAGTTTAGTTATTCTTTCACTGATATTTGGACATTCCTCACTGTACAAACTGTTGATATTTTCCACTACCCAACACTTACTGTTGGGAGTGGCCTTTCCTGGCGCATCGCTTTAACCTTGCTCATGTCTCTGCTCATTTCGTTTTTAATCTTGAAGACATTTAATTGCGTTTTGTTTCCCGTTGGCGGCCGTGTCAGTCTGTGATACCACTGACTTCAGCACAAGGTTTCATGTGGGCTGGGGGGGCTGGCTCTTCTTTCAGGAAGCACTGAGATTTCTTTTACGCAGTTATATTTCCAAAACGTGTTAATATGATACTTCTGCATTACTGTTGATACTTTTTTTTTGGCTGAAAGATACACCGACCAAAGTGCTGCCACTGCCAGTGTTTATGGTATGTAATGTCATGTTCAGATTACACACCGTTTTTGCATTTTTAATTTTACTTGATTCGCAAACTCAAATCTTCTTGATTGAAATAAATATGCAGAACTTCTACTGAAAGTCCAAATAGAAGTTTTCTGTTCTAACACGTTTATTTCCAGCAAGGCTCTCTTAGTCATTCCCAGCAAATTCACCAGCAAACTCAGGCTCTGCTTCCATCTGCAGAATAATCATGTGCAGACTCAGATTTTCTCCATCATGTTCATTACTTGAATCACATTTGGGAAATGAATTCATCAGACAGTCAAAATTAAGGATGTGTTGTGAGTTGTCACTCACGCCACCTGCTATTGTGGCTATTCTCTGGCTAATTGAGGGTGCAAGCACTCCGAAGATGAATATTTGCTTGTGTGAAGATTTCACATTTGTTTGCTGCAAATATTCATGAAGCTTTAAGAAACACATTCTTTGTACGCAGCCAGCACAAGGACTGTGCGTCACTTACGCTCTGTTTAAAAGGCTACTTTTGGATAATGTAAGCCACTAATCAAAAGGTTGCTTTGGGATGGGTAATAGAAGCTATTGCTATAGTGTGTAATATTCAAGTGCAGTAAGATTGAAGTTTTGCACACATCTTGTATGTGCAGTCTCTATTTGACCAGATTTATTCTTTCTGCACATTTCAACAGGCAAAATTCAGTCCAACTGGAAGGGATTTAATTTTCTCCGTACTGCTAACATCCTTACATTTCTTTGTAGGCATTTTTAACCCAACATTAGAACCCAACACAAAAGGAAGAAACAAACGTACCTTGTTTATCTGAAAATAACAGATTTTGTGCTTAACCATTTTATTACCATTCAAAATCAATATACCTCCCAAAATATTGGGAAATTACAGGAGGTTGGTTGGGAAAAATATACCATATTTCACTTCCTTCCTCACCAGTTAATGATTAATAAGACTCTGACATTCGTCGTTTTCACATAAGAGATATCAGAGCAAACCAATAATTTGGGTTCTATCAAACAAAAGCTATCTGCCAAATACATTAATGTAACAGTTATTTTGGCATATTCATGGCTTAATACCTGACAAATGTTTCAGATTTGGTTTTAAAAGCACCGTATTATTATGAAGAGGCAAACCAAACACCCACCCACATAAACATGTTATTGTTCCTCAGGATTTGGAGAATAAGCACAAAGAAAAAAATCTGAGGGGGAAAAAAGGGCTTTCTGCACTGTAATAACCCACACAGACACATCACGAGTGTTATTCAGGTGGATGTGACTGCATAAATAAGGCACTGTCCTGCCTGCCTTTGGGTACCCAGAGATCGCCGTCCTTTTAATACTCATCCTTTTCTAATCTACATCAAGATGCAGGTTGTACCTCACCTTTGAAAAAATATATTTAAATGGCAATGACAGAGTGATAGCACTGTTATCTGGAACTATAATTTGAGTTGGTATGCATGATAGCACAAATTGTGTGAAATGATGGGGTATTTTGGATAGCACTGTAAAGGTTTTATGACTGTAAGCCTACCCAAGTTCTGGCTGCGCTGGAAGCGTGGAGGCCGCAGTTTATTCTTATGATTCCTTCCTGAGATCTGCAAAGAGACTAAATCATATAACAGGGATTTTCAGGGTTTACTTATTCTTACCATGTTATTGTTAAGATTCGGGATGCATTTGAATACTAACACAGAGGAGAGCACAGTGCTGAAAAACGGGGAATATAAAGCACACCAAAATTCTTACAGCATGCACGCGCATCTGCATTCACTTGTAGGCAATACTGTAGTGGCACAGACATAAAAATATATGGAAATAAATGGAAATAAAACAGTGGAAAGTGTATCCGAAGTACAGAAATACATAAAATACTTTTTATATTTTAATGAAATTTACTGTTAAAGGTGATATTTTAAAATGTTGACTATCATTAAAGTATAAATGAATAACCTGGGTTGGTACTGTAGAAAAATGTGTTATGCGTATGGATTTATTTTTAAGATCTCTGTGAGGCTGTTTATAAGAAATTCGCTATAAATTCTTCTTAAATGTAAAGACACACATATCTGTTTTATGTTCCTCTTCAGTGTTTTCTTGAGTTCCTTTAACTGATATGGGCTTAGTAATATAATGTAAAATTATGTGTAATATACAACAATCAGATGTCTCTATTCTTTTCATTTAACCTACTTCATGTTTGTTTTTATTGCTCTTCTTCAAAGAAACCCCGTGAACATTAGGGAGCGTGGCTTAATCAGAACTAATTTGTATGATGACTTATACCTTCAAAGAGGATTTCTTCCTTTTTTGCAGTTGAATTAGAATTTTTATGTTGTTCCAAGGAAAAAAACAAGCCAAAAGGCAGGGCAGAATTTTATCCCTTACTGTAAAGTCGGGTGGTGGCATTGACTGTCACTGTTGGTGACCGAGGCTCTCTCTGCTCTCTACAACTTTTTACAGAGATGAGTCTCTATAACGTTAAATTTACCAACTTAATTGGAGAGATTGCTTCACTAAAGGCCCTGATGAGCAAACAAGCAGCTACCTGAAATGAACTAATTGGAAATAAGGCTGCTGCAAAACAAAAAAATGAGTCATAATGGTAAACAGTTTTTCTCTGTTTCCTCCTTTGTCTTTTTTTAACCATCAAGTTTAAAGCTTCTGCAGTGCTTTTTTTTCTACTTTATAGGAGACAACTGACATTCTGTGGTAAATGGAAGAAAGAGCAGAGCAGAACTGAAAATCCTCTAATGCACTGACACTAACTTGCCCTCTATTGTTGAAAATGAACAGGCAATCATGATTGTTCATCAAATGGCTCCTAATGCAGTTAAAGCATTCAGCTATAATTTCTCCTTGCATTTATAATTACTGTCATAGACTGCACACCTCAGTGAGCAGATTAAAGCTATAAACTATTTAGCCGTAGCTTTAAGATGAGGAACTTGATTTGTCTGGCAGCAGTTATTTGTTAGAGAGCTTGACACTTCACATAAAAATGACTCAACTTGATGAAGAACAATGCAGTTTAAGCAATGCAGTGATTTTAAATCAGTCATTATACCACGCCCTGTAAGAATTGCAAAGCAATTTGTTAAATGATATATAGGACACGCAGATAACTGTATGTGTTAAGTATACCAAAATAGAAGATTTTTTTCTTCCATGGATTTTATTTTCTCCTCCCCTCTGGAGCTGGAGGAGCTGCTCTGAACATCATGTTTTGCTATTAGCCAGTATGGGTGTTACACAGGCAAGGCCAATTGCAAGAATCAGTTGTCTGAAGCCACACATTAGAAGACGAAGCAAGGCAACAGGGACAGGCTCAGGTGGGCCTCTGTGCTGCAGTCCCTCAGCAGGGGATTGCCCCAGCTGCCCCTCCTGCCTCCAGTCCACCCTGGTGAAAGCCCAGTCCTTCCAGTCCTTGGAAATTTCTCACCATTCCCCAAAAGCAGCAGATCAGGAATTTTTGAAATTCAGCATTCTGAAAACTTGGAACTTGCCCTGCCTAACATGTTCTCAGTCTAGCACTCACCCTTGTAAATCCAGCAGTGAGAGTTTGCTCTTGGCTTCAGTAAGAGCAGGGTCAGGGCAGATCAGGGTGCATCAGCATGGATGCATCCATGCAGATTTACCTGCTTTTTATGAATACTACAGGTTGCTATTAAGATCAGTGTTGTCAAAATTGTATTAGCTCATGCAGCGCACCAGGTTACCCCATATTGTTCCCAGGCACTGTATGAACATACAGGAAATGCCCCTAAAAGGCAGGAATTCTTCAAGGCACAAAGAGAAGCAACCTGTAAGTGTTTTGACCAGATCTTAACTGACCTTGAATAGCACCTACTTCATCGAGCATTCAGTATTCATAAGGATATCAAAATCTTACCTTCTCCTTGCTGCATCTGATATTATTAAATTCTACAGCCTTCATAATCTATAGTGGAGCAGTGTTACCCAGTGAAATTTCAAAGGAAGAGGACACATTTTACACCTCGTCAACCAAGTAGCGAAGAGAAGGAAAAGACATGAGCAGCATCCAACCCTCAACAGCACCTTCCAATAAACATGTTGTTTAGCAGGATGATCACTCTGTGCAAATATGATGGAGCACAGATGAAAAATGAGGAAAAGTGTAGATATGGCTTTATGGGAAAAGAGGAAGAGATTTCTCACTATTTATTGGGATAATGAACAGATAATTCATGATTATTAAGCTGTAGCACTCAGGTCTTATTCTGCCTCTCCTGGGCTGGGAGCTGGGTCTGTCCGTGCGTGGAGGTGGGATGTGTTGGTGTGGGAAGCTCAGCTCCATGCTGTGGTTCTCGTGCATCAGCGGAGCCACGCAGGATTCACAGCAGCAGATACCACTCAGGACCCTGCCTGTGAGCAGAAGAATGGGGCAGAAGAAGCCACGCACAGCACGGAGCTTATTTCATAACTGTGACGGTGTTTCTTGTTTGAGAGCATCTCAGTTCCAGGAAAGGGGCAGCAGACTCTGGTTCCCAGCCCATGATAAGGCATGTAGCATCAAGGCACTGCACTGGTCACAGCCTCCAGGAAAGCCAAGGGGCCCAAGGCTCCATCCTGCCTGCTCTGGGGGGCTGTGCATCCCAAGAGCACGAGCTGGTGGAGCCCTGGAAGGTGGGAGGTGGCTGGAAGGCTCCGACACTCAGTTCTATGAGGGGTGTCCATCTCTGGGGCACTGCGCTGGCTCTGTTGGCTCCAGATGTATGCGAAAAGTGCAGTGGGGACCAAGAGGAGGGTGTGCTGGGGGCATGGAAAGAGAGGGAATGGCAGCAGCATTCTGGGCAGAGGAAAGGAGGGAGAGGTGGGGAAGGAGGAGGCTTGTTCCTTGCTGGAAATTTGCACGTTCTCTTTATTAAAACAAAACAATTCCTCCTCCCCTCCAAAATCCCTGCCTGCCAGCACTCAGCGCGGCTCCTCTGCCAGGGGTCAGCACATGCAGGATGGGGGAGGGAAGGACGGGGGAGTGGAGGAGGTTGTCATGTCTAATGAATACCCTGAATGTATCGAGATATATATTTTTTTCATTTCAGAAAAGGTTCCATTAAGAGGGAGACAGCCCTAACATGTGCTTTGGCCCCTCATCAGATTTATGAGTATTTGCTCTGCTCTTTAATAGGAAACTCTGCAGCAACTGCCACCTTGCCTGCTCTCCCTGAGATACACAGTGGCTTCTCAGGGAAATGCACTTCATTATTAATGTGAATTTGTACGTTTTTATGACACTGCTTGGGGGAAGGGGCAGGCAGAGATTTCCTGGTGATATATGCTCATTTCTAACCATTTATTGTCCCAGACAATCGAGGAACAATGATAAACATTGTTACAGAAAGTGGAGAGTGCCACAGTGACATTTTTTGAAGGGAAAGGAGAGGTGGCTGGAGTGGTTTTCATGTGGTTGCTCCCCTCCAGTGCCTGCAGCAGCTGCATCAGATCGAGTGACAAAGCGGTCCTGCTGGTGGCACATTGCCTCCCCACGCCTGCCCATTTCTGAGGCCAGCAACAACCCTTTGCTCAGTGCTTTGCTGAAGCAGAGGGGGTACAGAGGAAAGGAAGGAGTGTCTCTTTTGGGAAGCCTCTACTGCAAAAAAGTCACAAGATTCAGAGTGAATGTTCAGTGTCCCCGGTGCCCCCTTGCCCTGGTAGTTTCTGATTTATTATTGATTGACCTGGCATGGAAACCCTGTGCATGCAGCAGCAGCTGCGAGACATCAAATCAGACCAGGAGCAGAATGGTGAGGGTGTGTGACTCGTTTACCAGAGCATTATCAGCATCTTCTGTTTTCTCTCTCTACTGCAAAGCTCATCTGTAATTCACACAGTCAAGCAGGAGGCCTGGGAGGGGATGAAAATGGTGGGCTTGGGCTGCATTGGAGAACCAAAACAGGGTCACCCTAAAGAGAGATCAGTAAGGCCATGGCTTCTCTGTGATCTCAATTCTCCTGCCTCTCCCAGCAGTGCTTTGCAGGCCTGGTGAAGGTCAAAGTCAGGTTACTCTGTCTGTGCCAAAGCCCCAAAAGCCTTCGTGCATGAGGATGCTTTGCAGTTCCCTCTGGGATATCCTCTCTGCAGCACTACCAGCTAGAGCTTCCTCTGTGCCATCGAGCTCATAGCCTCCAGCTATAAGTGAACGACTGTGTTTGTATTCCATTCCCTAGCCCTGAGCACAGTCCTTTGTAACAGGAGGTGCGCCCAGCAGCTGAGCACTGCTGAGAGTTCCTTTATGTCATTTTTCTGCTTTCCTCTTCAGACTGAATAGCAGTGAGGAAGAAAATCAGGATAGTCATATGGGGTTGGGTCAAAAAATCCCAGCCAGTGATATCAAGCCCCAAACCTAAGTTCCCCCTCCTTTTCCCATTCTTTTTTCCATGAGGGTTTCCCAGCCAGCAGTAGCAGGATTAGATTTCTTTCTGAACTGTACACAGAAGAGGAATTACAGTCTTACTGCAGAATTCGTAGTAGCTTCGACCAGTAATTCAGATGAGAACAAACTACTTGTTCTGCTGCGCATGGATAATGCTACAGGGATCCCTTCTGGGTCTGCTTTCTGCTTCTTTCTTGTACACAAACAAAAGTGTTTTTCTCCTCCTGTTGTAGAACTGTTGAATCCTAACTGCAAACTTGTTGTTTTCATGAGCTCATTTAATGAAAACTCCCAGCCATTCCCTGTTTCTAAAAAACTCCAAGTTTATACCATAAACCACAGGTTCCCTGGAATTGTGTCTCACTATGTACAAGCAATAACCTGACATAGTGCTCAGCTGCCAGCAGATACCTCCATCCCACATCTCCATCTCTCCACTT